GCCATTCGAGGTGATCTAAGTGTACCCCCACAGAGCCGTAGATATCAAAAGCCTTGACACCGATAAATCTTCAAAGTTAACGGACAACAGCTGAAACCATTCCTTGAAGGTTTCAAAATGGACAACATCGAAAGCATGTATCTTATTTATCCAATCCATGAAGAGTAAAACATGATGCTGGCCTCATGTCGTGACGTTAAATGAGGTGCTTCTTGGGAGGCAGTCCATGCAAGGTACTTATCTATTTTATCATTTTATTCATTTGAGTGTGTGTGAGAGAGAACCTTTTTAAAAAATGATGAAAACTAAATTTTTAGAAGGCTTGAGAAAAACCTCGGCCGGGTATCCCAATACACCCGGTCGGGTAGAAGAAAAAAAATGATACCCAAGGGCAACATCCGAATGGACAAGGAGAAAATTCTGAAAAAGAGTATATACCCGATTGGATATCTTATTATACCCGATCGGGTATAAACTCAAAAAAGCCAGTGCCAGCTGTTTTAGAAAAACTCTGCCCGGGTAGACTACCCTACCCGCCCTGGTATGAATGCAAAACTGAACCCAATGCAAGCTTATGGAATGCAACATCCGACTGGGTGTACACACCTACCCAACCGGAAAATTAAAAAAAAAATTGAAAAATGAACATATACGCGATCAGGTATATTAATATACCTGACCGGGTATACATTTAAAAACTCTCTGCCAGCCAAAAAATGAAAAACCCGACCGGGTAAAACATTATACTCGACTTGGTATACGTATTTCACAGACTTCCCCATTTCACACCCTAAAATTTGAACACCTCTCTCAAATCCTCCATAGCCAAAACCTTCCAACCTCCAAATCTTTCTCATTCCTTCATTACCAAATCCACAAATTAAACCTATTTCCTTCAACTTCTCAACATCTTCTTCCATTTTACACCCACAAATTCCACCCGAAACCCCCAAATTACCAAACCCTAACCCCATCCACCCCAAATCTGAAAGTCATCTCCCATGTCCGAAAACCCCTCAAAAATAAACAAAAATGGCACCAAAGAGACAAAGGGGTTCATCTTGGGTGGCCACTAGATGACGGTGATCACAAGCCGATTGTGATCATTGACTGGCGGCGGCCGCTGTCGACGATAATCAATGTCTGACAATGGTCACTGAATGAAAATTGCTCACTGGAGCGTTTGGTCATGATCATTCAGTTGTAGTCGTTTAGTTAAAAGGGTATAAACTCATACTCGTCTCTTTCTTGAATTTTTATATGAGTGTTCCTACATTTGTTATACTTCTCTTTTGGTATTATTTTTTTTGCCAAAAGGCCCTTCTTAAATTATAAGGGTTATTGTTGCGCAGAATTCGTATATTATGATGGGGCTTGATGTATCAAACGCGACAATAACTAGACTAGAAAAGTACAAAAGAGAAGATGAAAAAATAGAAAAGATAAAAGGGGTAATTTGAGTTTGCACCCTCTCTATATTATTGTCTAAATTGGACTTTGCACCCCGTTTTTAAAAATCTTTGTTTTTGCACTCTAACTCCATATGAAAAGACCAAAATGCCCTTAATCAGGAATATGTTGAAGGCCAACAGAATTGTTAATGGAGGGACATTTTTGTCTTTTCATATGAGGTTGGGGTGCAAAAACAAAGATTTTTAAAAACGGGGTGCAAAGTCCAATTTGGACAATAAAATGGAGTGCAAACTCAAATTACCCCTATAAAAGGAAAGAAAAATGGAAAAGAAAAATAAAAAATGAGAAAAAAGTATGAAAAATATTTGAAAATGCATGATATTTTTTTGAAGTATATATAAAATTGAGATAAATAATAAAATAATTCACATAGTAGAAGTACTGAAAAAGTAGTGTACAATTCGAGCACCAGATTCAAAATATATATTGATGAGATACATTGATCGATATTTTATTCACAACAAGATGACATGTTTAGTTAATTAATATCCAAGATGTTGTGTTCGTGTTCGACTGATTTTGAAAAAAAATATAATGATGCTATTTAAAAAAGTGTGTTTTGTTTGTCCTATTCAGTAGTGAACTTTCTGTATTTATTTAAAAATAACAGGAAAGTTCCTGGCTTCAATTCCAAACGTTCATCAGTGACTAGAAAAAGATTGAACGTATTCGGCTTATCATCTGATCTGATCGATCTCCAGATTAAGCAGGCGGTATTTTTCGTGGAAACTGCTATAGAAACTCCAACAAAATTTAGACAGAGAATCAAAATCTAGTTGTTGACCTCTTATTATTTCCCTACATGTGGTCGAGACCTTCACTGACGTCTACTTATCTTCTTATGCTTTTGGACCATATATATAGCTTCAGTCTCCGTCGAATCCAATAATGCTCTATCTGAACATTGTACACAACCTATTTTAAATTACCATAAAACATCTCACTCTTTGTAAGGATCCCACATCAATAATTAAGAAGCACCAATTAGTTAATGAGAATTCAGGCTACACTAAAATTAGTAAGTTTAGTTTACTTTAGTTTTCACCTATTGAAATTTTCTGGTCTGGGCGATCCGGCATGATCTAGTTGGTTTGATCTGTTTAATTGTGATCTGGTCTGAACTGATTTCATCTGGTAAATGTCTGGTTTTTGTGTATTTTATAGTTGTGCAAGTCTGGTTTGGTTCGATCTGTTTAATTCTGCTCTGATTTGGTCCGATGTGATCTATTTTAGGTCTAGTCTACTCTGGTATGAGAATGAAAACATCCTAGATTAACAATTTCAAACAATCTTCATCGCATTGCAACATTTACTCTAATGGAAATAGGTTAGAGATTGACTAACCATATTTTTCACAAACATATTATAATGGAAATAACAAACTTTGCAACTTTATGAGAGTGTTTTTTTAACAAATGTATCATTTTCATGTTATAAATGCTTTTGAATTAAAATATATCATTGATTAAAATTTAAAATATGGGTTTTACCAAAAAGTCCAATAGGGAGTTTTTGAAATAATGAGTTGGTATATGATAGATAAATACAATTAAAATAACTTTACAATTAAACTAAGAATGCAATTAAACTGCAATTAAGGGTTTGCGTGGGTTGGAGATAACTTTACATTCCCGCTGAAATGGGGCTTGGATAGACTAAAATGATGGCATAGTTAAAAACGTGCTTTGAAATAATACCTAATACGGTTATACGGAGTATATAACTAAGAAGACTTGGTAAATGGTAAATTTTACTAACTAAAATTTTATTCAAATTGTACATCGTAAGGATTCAAAAATTATACTCATAATCACTTAAGTCCCAAGACTATCTCTAGTCGTGGAGTTTTAAGAGTCTAAAATGTCTACAATGGAATTTTAGACTCCTAAATCTATACATCGGTGGTTGGAAAGAGGTTATATGGGGGCTTATAAATGGAAAGGTGGAGGGAGAGAGTCTACATATAGCCGATTTGATCCACTCCGGCTAAAACAAAAGCGGAGCAAAGTAGGGTGAAGATTGTATCAAAAGTGTGGGTCCTCAAACAAAAACAAAAAATCACCTATTCTTTTAAATTGTTATAACTTTTTTATTTGGTCTCCAAATTTTTCAAAAACTATATCAAAATTCATGAATTTTTAGGAGCTTTCATATGACACCAATATTACATATATAAAGTGAAAAAAGAATTTCAAGTTTTAACTATTGCAGTTTTCTTGAGCACAAAAAAACACGAAACACAAATTTTTAATTCATGAAGCGTGCATAAATAACTTAATATTATATCATCTCATTTTATAGAAGCGGGAAAACGTTACAAAAAAACTAACGAGGATGCTTAAATGGAATTCGATTTTAATGACAATACTCATAAAATTTTCACTCATGATTTAATTGAACGTTTAGAAGAGAATTTGATAATAATCGAACATTACTTAAACTAAGTTCATTTTTTGTTACCGAAAAACGTTTTAAAAAAATTAATGAAATTTATATTTTTTTACATCAAAATGTGTATTTTTTATTTTATAATTATTTTGAGAAAAAAATTAAAAGAAAATATTACTTATAATACTTTAATTAATTATCTACTAATTTGATATGTAAAAAATATGTCAAGTATATTTTATTGACGGTACTGGAATGCAAAGAAAATCATTATTGACGGAGTCTAAACACTGTTTTCATATTGACGGAGTCCATATTTTAGCTTTTTAGACTCTTACAACTCCAAATGGTCTAACATGTTTGTCCACAAGTTAATTTTAGTACTCCCCCCGCCCCCTTATCTTTGTTCTATTTTATCTTTTTTATTCGTTCCTCTAAGTTTGTCTCGTATCACATTGAATAATATTGAAGTGATAACAATTCAATTTTATTTTATTCACATTTTTATCAATTTAATATCAATCTCAATTTCCTTTTTCTTAATAACTGCAAAACTCCATCTAGCTAGTCTCAATCTTAGGAGAAACCTCTTATTAAACTTAAACTGACAAGATCAAACTTAAATAACATTAAAAATACACATACATTTGACATTATTAAACCATATCAATAGGGATGTATTTAGGGGGGGGGGGGCGACCGCCCCCCTTGGACTTTCAAAATTTTCTATTATATATATAATATTTTCATAAAATTTTCAAACTTTAGCTAGATATATATCACTACAAAAAATCGTTCAATTAGGCACTTAAGCTAGTCACTTGTAACTTATGTGAGTACTTTCACCACCTTTCTCACCTATAGAACCAGTGAGTAAATACAAAGCGTTTCTCACCACTTTTATCACTTTAAATACTTGGTGACAAAGGGCTGAAAAAACTGAACCCATATTACCGCATCCGTCGAATAACGTACTGCGTGTTTCCTTTAATTTCGTGTTGTTTCAATTCGTTTAATTTTTTATAACTTACTCCTTTTATTCTCTTGTTTCCAAAACTACCTCCACATGCAGCTCCACTTACCCACGTAGCCCACGCAGGCCAAGTTCAAAACACTATCAAGTTATGATAAATTTGTAAACCATGCCCAGTAGTCATCATCTATCATTTTCTTCTTTCGAGCATGCGGCATAATTAATGCAAATTCAATTCCATGCACTTGATATGGTGCTTAGCTTGATATTGCCTTGCTCCCCTCATTATTCTTAATTACATTTTTAGCAACTTTGATTCATCTTACTCAGGAGATTGAGGCACACCATTGCTTCTAGGGTGAGTTAGGGCCAATAGCATGGAAGATATGACAATGCAATTCCATAGAAAGTATATACGGGTATGCTTTAATTGAATTTACGAGAATAATTATAACTATAAAATGTTTCTTCTACATTGTACTTTTTGTTTATATATTAAAAATTAGGAGATTTCACCTCTTGTTTTAATGTTTCAGAAATATCAAGTTACTTTTGAATTGAGGAATCACTTTTGTAAAGTCAAGAACAACGGTATCTATGAAGACGGATCGGAGTTGATGCTCGATCCTCCTCCACTTCTAAATATGTGCACTTATTCTTATCATACAAATCGTGTACATGCATTCGATCTGAACACAACATCAGCTACCGGAAATTATCAAATCTATTCTTACAAGTTCATTCAAAAGTTAGTAGATGTGCAATTCAAACTGTTGTTTGAGGATCCGAGCGGCCATTGAAGAAGAAGAAGATCACAATGTTAATTAGCAAATGAATCGGTCATCATGCCAATTTTTTTCCGTCTGAATTATCACTGTGTATCACAATCTTTGTATCACTTTGTATTATGAATCTATCACTTTTGTGCAATATTTGTGCCTTTGAGTTACTCTATTTCAAATGTTAACTATTTAATTATAGTACTCCGATCCACTACGTAATAGATTCAAATTCGCACATTGTATTAATTGAAGTTATATGTTGAGTACTTAATTTCTAATTTTGAAATTCAAATTAATTTTGTATTGTATTGAGCAATAGATACTTGAATTTACCAGTTTTAAATTATTATAAAATAAAATGACACCCAAATTAAATTATTCACTCTCATACATAGTGACAAAAATGTGATCGTGGCACTACATCATTGGCACGTCTTCACAAACTTCTCACGTATTTTCTCACTTGTTGGGGGAGTGAGTGAATTAGTCACTCTCTAAATGTGGTGCCAATGTATTTGGCACCGGCAATAAGGCACCACACACGTTTAGTGACTATGGAGGTGAGTAATCTATTTTGTCACTCAATTTATTTTATTATGAGTGACAAATTTGGTTACTAATCAACAAATTTTTTGTAGTGTATGTGTTCGCCCCCCTTAACTTCTTTTTTAGAATTAATATATAGTCTTACATAATGTAATACTTAAGTTTAGATTTAAAAGAAGAAACATCTAAAATAATTTACATAACTCAAACAAATAGAAACAACTCATTATTTAAAACTTAGGATACTTATTATATAAAAATTCCTAATTTTGTAATGTTTAATTATCTTTGTTAGATTCTTTTAAAAAAATTATCTTTATTAGATAATTAGTACTCGGTTTTGAAAAATATCAAATAAAATTAAAGACCAGACACACTACTTAAACAATTTTAGATCATGTGAAATGAATCCAAAATATAAATGTTTGTTGACATTAAATTACACAATTCGTTTACTTCTTACACTTCATAAAAACAATTTATTGCATAGATAATAAACTTTAACTTATTTTTAGCATGAATACAAATACAATATGCACCATATATATGGATTAGTATCATAATATTTTTCTAAAAATAGTAATCTCATACATATACTATTGCAATTCAAAAATCAAATCTTTATTGCGATAATATTCATGTGGTTAAACAAGACAGAAGTTATTTAAAAAGTATTACGTAGTAATAGATATGTACCTTTTAAATTTTTATTCAAATAATTTGATAATTAAAATGTTATATATCCTTTTTATTTTCAAATAATTTTCCTTTGATTTACCATTTCTTACGCTTTAATGTATCAATACCTTTTCTAGATAATTTCAATTATAAAATCAAAGTTATTTTTCTATTGTCTAAACCTAAAATGTAATAGATCTAGTTATTGTCGTGAATGTGTATCAAAGGAACTTTTTGGAATAAAAATTAACCGCAGAGTCCTACACCAGCAAAAAAACATCGCTCCGCTACACTAGCGAAAAAATTCGCACGCTACACTAGCAGAAAATTTTTCACACCTCCACAAACGAAAAAATTTCACCCCCCTTAACTCGAAATCCTGGATCCGTCCCTGCATATCAACTCAACTAGATTCCAATAAACTTAATCATATCAGATTTAAAGAAAACATAATGATATCAGTAATAACACCCTTGTGATATAACGTTAGATCAGAACACCCAATTTTGAAATCTGTAAACTATATGATATCATTAATAAACAAATAAACACCCCGTATACAATTAAACATTTAAGCAGAATGGATAATTGGATATGTTTGGTTGGACGCCCATTGGAAATCATCCAGCAGCAATGTGACATTTTAGTCCAAGATCATCCATCTCGTTGGTTACATATAATACGTGCAAAAAGTAGTTAATTTTACATTGCTGCCATTGCATATAAGCCCGGCCAGTGCATGTATTAAATGTAAATAATTTGACTTGTTATTTTTAGGCTATAAATTAGGCGTGACAAATCGAATTAACCCAAATACCTGAATCATATGCACTTTAAACTGAACTGAGCTGAGACCGAGAAACCCTGAATAAAACCAAACTGAACTAAAGAAATCCAATAAAAACTTCATATATTATTTTTTTGATCATAAAACTTCATATATTATTAAAAAGCAACAATATCACAAACAAAACAAAAGACAAATCTAAACTGAACTAAATCAAACCGGATAAAACCTAGTGTAATTTTTGTTTGGTAATCATTCCTCAACCCATTTCAAATTGAACATAGCCCAAAAAATGATACATCCACCCCTATTATTATAAATATAACAAGCAGTCAGATTTTTCGATCAATTCATCTTACGGGCACAAAATTATTTTAGAAATAATCCCACAATCTCTAAATAAAGTTTAACCATTACCTCAGAATAATATGAATTTTTGTAGGTCATACACTAACTAGTTTATTTTAATTTTACAAATAATCTAGATTCATATTTTGATTTCAGATTATTCTATCGAATAATCTCTCTCAATCATCATGCTTCGAAAAATTATCGGTCATGTCGCCAAAATCATGGATAAGAATGCCCCCATCAAATTAAACACTGCATTCACCAATAACATCATCATTTTCAACATTATACACAAAACCTAGCAAAGCTCATTCCTTTCATTTAAGAAGAGCTTGCTTCAATGTGCAGCTGGTTTTCAGCCTCTAATTAGACTTTCACAGGCCACTGCATGACTTTAATACTCCGTACATAATACATATGGAAGACACACTCCAATTGTAAGCTCATTCTAAAAAAGTATGCTAAATTAGTGCTGGAGCAAATCAATGGAATAAATTACTAGGCAGTGGACATATAAACTGAGCCTGCAGCTTGGACAGCTTCCCCAAATTTTTAAACCAGGCCAGCTAGAAATCACAAACTTGTCTCATGGATCAAGACCAAGCATCCTTGCCTCAAACACTAGTTATTTGATATATTGATGCCAGTTTCTCATACATTGAGGGTATCATGTGGGGCTATGGTCACCAATCACTTTCCATTCAATTAAACATCTAAGCCATTTTGCAAATTTAGCCCTTAATTAGCTCTCAAAATGATCCTTATCTTTGAAACTAGTTTTTGTACGCGCGTTGCGCGATTGGGTAAATGCCCAATATTATATACTTTTATAGAGTTTGGTATGAAATTCAAATAAAGTTTGAAGTAAGAAGAGACAGTACAAAAAAAACCCATGGAATAAAATCATATGACATGTATAGCTAAACCTAAAACTATATTTCAAGATTAAAAAACCGAAGCAGAGATCATTTAAATGTGGCCAGCCTTTCTCGTAATCCTGTTTCAAACATAAAGCATACTTGATTTAGGACAAAAGCATATGATTAGATTTAATAACCAGAATACTAAACAGCTAAAAATGAAGTATGGAAATAGAGAACAAATTATAACAGAAGAACATATCATCATGAGACCCAAAATATCACAAAATTATTTTATTTGGAATACATACTGAGAATACTTTGGCGGAATTGATCTCTAAACAGTCACTACTTAATTAGTTATATATATTCGTCATTTATAGATGTTTTTCTATATGCACCAAAAAACTGTCAAGAACTTCTATTTCAATGTTCCTTTCGTCTCCCTTCTCTTTTTGCAAATGGGTTAAAATAAGATAATGTGCCACGGATTTATAACCAATTTGCAGGACCTGAAAATTCAGTTTATATTGGAATATAGGCCAACTCTATCTCCATTACCATACTGGAGAGTGGAGCGTGATGGAACAAAGGATATTTCCAAAAAAAAAAGATTACCTTGTTATAAACTACAACAATGGGAACCCATCCTTTTCGACGTCTGCAGCGACTACAGTTGCATATATCGCGGCAGATAGGTCAAGACCAGTTTGGATTTTTGTTTGCTTCGATCACATTTTCCCCATACCTACACAAGGAGGGAGTAGAATGAATTGGAAGCAATAATACAAGTGTGCCAGAACTTGGGAATCATATTTAATGAGGTCGTGGATAAACATAGAGACAACTCTTCAGTGCTTGTTTGCATACAGACAATTCTATCTATGTAGACAGTAAAGTGTGCCAAAGATGTACACAAAAAAAGGTACACCAAGCACGGCTCGTCATCTTTTTTTGTAAAGTAAAATGATTTGTTTGTACTAGTTATCTCCCGGTATTTAAGATTAACACCGTAATATGTCACAAATATTAATAAAGTACTAACTCCGTCCCAAATTGATTTCCAAATTTGACTTGTCTTGGTCAAACAGTTTCATTTTATTCATTTAATTAGGATATAAAGTTTTTAATTAAATTCTAATTTGGAGTTTGCAACTTTGAAAATATTTTAATGTAGTTTCTGCATATGAAAATTTTAATTATTAAAAAGTAGATTAGTTATCAATATGGTGAATTTAATTTTAATATTGGTTGACCAAAAAATGTTTCAATTTGAGAAGGGGGGAGTGTGTCATGTTTGCCTGATTTTTTCGAAATCCACATTGTTCAATGTTCAATAGTTCGATTTGCTAAAGTTTCATGGTCCTTCAAATGCTTAACAGCTTTTTGGATGCCTATTGATTTGCCCAGGTCTTGATATTTTTGGCACGCCGCGCGTTTTAGAATGATAACAGAAAGCCTGTAGCTTTTGATTCACATTGAAGGGAACCCTAACGTATGATAGTGTTCTTGTTCCCTCCATGAGAAACACAATGATGTTATCCCAGAGAGCTTTCTTAAGCCTTATGACCTCAAATAACTCCAGAAATTGTTTTAAAAGATTAGCCCTTATCACCTAAACAAGTTACATACAGGCACTACTTCTTGATGTACTCACGTTAATACACATACGATGGGTACTCTGCTTTGATTGATAAGCTTGGTATTGCAAATTTTTGGAGCTTCAGGTTTATAGATAGGCTTTTATTGCTGAAGAAACAAGAGGGTGTGGTTTTAAGGGAGTAAAATGCATAACTAGTCCCTAAACTATAGGCATCATATCATTTTGGTCCTTGAACTAACAAATCTATCATTTTAGTCCCTAATCTATGTAATTCATATTAATTCGGTCCTTATGTCCATATTTTGACGTTAAACTAACGGAATGTGCTT